AGGGCGGGGGAGGGGTAATGGGTTCCCCCAGCTCACCCAACACCCATCCCCTCACACACAGTGAAATGAGTGCCTGCTCTGTGCAAAACTGGCTGTGTGCTGGGGACACAGCGGGTGGGGAAGACAGAGGCAGTGGGTCACCTGTAGCTGAGAGGAGAGCATGGGGTTGGGGTGCACGTAACAAGCCGGCCACAGCCAGACCGAGCTAAGCAAGGCGGTACCGAGTATGTACACAAGGCTGTCACGTGTGCCATCTGCCAGGAACTAGCCTGTCCACAAAGCTCCCACCAGGAGAGAGTTAGGAAACGGCTTAGATGAAAACCCCCGGCTGGAACTTCTCCCAGCTCAGCCTCTGCTCTCATGCCTCTGCCACCTTCCTGGCTTGGCTCAACCTTGTGGGCTAGGGAGGTCCAGGGAGGACAGTGAGGTCCAGGGAGGACAGGGAGGACCAGGGAGGACAAGGGGATCCAGAGAAGACAGGTAGGTGTGGCGACCAGAGGGGCCGGAGTCTACATGATGGCGGAGGCACACCTCCTGCAGAAGCCTCCGCAAGACTGCCCAGCCCCAGCCCCAGCCCTCCATCCTCCCCAGCCTTGCTCCTCGGACAATTCCCATTCCCTTTCCCCACATGGATCCTTAGAAAGAGGCCCCCAGGCCAGCTGGTGGTATGGTGGTTAAAGCAGCTGGATCCTACCAGGCCAACTGTAAGTTTGAGGCCCAGGGGCTTGAAAAGCACATCAGACACATGTGTACGTGTCCAAAATCCCAAGAGAACAGAGAAGGGATTGTGGCATGGCCAACCCCCTGGGGGGCTGATTTCTCACTTTCCCTCTCTGGAAGGACACGCACCTTGCAGCGAACATTTAAAAAAAGCAAGCAGGGGACCAGCAGATGGCATAATGGTTATGTTGCCGGACTCCTACACAGTCAACTGCAGTTCAAGTCCGGGACCTGGTGGCTTCAAACTACGGCCCGACGCATGTGCATGCATGCCCAAGATCTCAAGAGGAGAATGGTGGAGAAGGGATTGCCGCATGGCCATCCCTCTTGTGGAGTGATTTTTTGCTTTCTGTCTCTCTGGAGAGTGCATGCACCCTACAACAAAAATCTCTCTAAAAGCAAAAAGAAAGCAAGGCCAGAAGACCAGCCTGTGGCCAGGGCCCTCCCCTTGAGGTCTGAGATGTGGGGCAGGCCAGGAAGAGTTAGGGTTAGTCTCTGCCCTCAGTCCTCCCAGTCCTTTCCTAAAAGGGGCGTGGCATCATCACAAGACACACTGCCCCAACAGCCTGGCCTGTGCCAAGCCTCTCCCTTACAGGGGACCTCAGACTGCGGGGGACACAGGAACCAGCTTGCCCTCCCTGTCCTCCCCCTCACCATGGGACAGAGTTTCTCCCAGGCCCCAGCACAAGGCGTGCAGGAGACTCTGCTCCCACGATGGGCACAGCATGCCAGCACTGCCGTGAGGTAGCCGCAAGGACCTTTATTTATAAGAGGGCTGAGGGAGCCTCCCTCACGTGTTACAAAAATATATGTATATATTTACACATAGTGTGCATCTCTGAAGCTCCTCAGGAGGGGCGAGTCCTCCCTGGGAGCGGGGAGGCACCCATGGGTGATGCCAGGACCGAAGACCCAGCAACTCAGGCTCAGTTACTAACAGGAGAGGAAATTACAAAAGAAACCAGGAGACGTCTTGAAGGTCAGAGGTCAGGAGTGAGGGAAAGAGCTGGCAGCTGACCAAGGCTCTTACAACAGGCGGATGTGAGCAGCGATGGCTCATGTCTCCTTGCTGCTCCCTCCACAGGCGCTTGGGGCTGCTTGGCCATCCCAAGCCCCTCAGAGGGCAGCGATGGCTTTGGCGGCCACCTGACGGCCCAGGGGTAGGCTGAGGTCCGTGATGGCCAGAACCACCTTGGGGCTGGACATGGCTGACACCTTCACCAGTTCCGACACCTGCCACAGACAGACAGTCACTGAGGGGACCTGGCGGTGAGTATACCATCCCAGGAAGCAGAGGGCTAGCCCTGAACCCCCACGTCCGGTGACCGCACGGGCACTCACGGTGGTGAACGGCATGAACTGCAGGATGCTGCCGCGGCCGCCCTGCTCCAGGCAGTCCACACACTCCTCCATGAACCACTGCACAAACTGGGTGTGGGGGCCGGCGGTGCGCGAGCCCAGGATGGAGGAGATGAGCAGGAACAGGTTGGCTGTGCGGAAAAGGCGAGAGCCAGATGGGGCCATGAGAGGGTTAGAGAAGAGGTCAGGATGGGGAAGGAGAGGGGGGTAGTGTGGCACAGGGAGGGTGGAGGATCCCAAGAGGACCTTCCTCTCAGCTGGACAGGGCTCCTTCCCACCCAGCCTCAGGGCAGGAGCAGGGGTGGGAGGACTTACCCAGCACTCGGTTCAGAGGGTCTCTCATGTTGACTGTGTGGAGCTGGGAGGCCGAGAGCGAGCTGCTCATGGACCGGTCAGCTGTGGGGCAGAGCAGAGTAGCCTAGAGAACCCAGGTGTTCCGAACCACCCCCCCAGGCCTCCTTTCTCTATGGCAGCTGGAACACGGAGAGCCCAGAGAACAGTCTAGATCAAGAATCACTGAGAGGCCCCAAAGACAGAGATTCCCCATAAGGGAATGAGAGAGAACTCGCACTTGGGAGACAAGACCAGGTCTTGTCTGATCTTAGCACTACACGGAGTAAGCTTCTTAATTCTCACCATACTCTATTCTATTTTATTTAGATTTTTGCCACAGGGAGTGTGCGATCCCTGGGGAGTGAGAGAGAAAGAGGGAAAGTGAGAAATCACACCCCTGGGAGGATGGCCACATGGCAATCCCTTCTCCTCCATTCTCCTCTTGGGATTCTAGGCATGCAGGCCTGGGCATGTGCCCGGTGTGATTTTCAAGCCACCAGGTCCAGGACTTGAACCATGTAGTCAGCCATGTGGGACCACCATGCCACCTGCTGGCCCTGGTTTTGTCTCGTTTTCTTTTCTTTTTTTTTTTTTTGGAGAGGTTTTTGCTATAGGGCGTGCATTCAGACAGAGAGAGACAGAGAGAAAGAAAGTGAGAAATCACCCTCCAGGGGGGATGGCCATGCCGCAATCCCTTCTCCTCCATCTCCTCTCAGGATCTTGGGCATGCACGCACACGCGCCCAGCGTGAGTTTAAGCCACCGGGTCCCGGATGTGAACTGCGGTCAACTACATGGGAGTTCAGTGACATAGCCATTACGCTAACTGCTGGCCCCTGTCTTGTTTTCTAATTGCCAGAAGGCATGCAGGTTCTCCAGAGGATGGGTGGAGAAAGCAACCCTGTGGGGCAAGGCCATACTGCAATCTTTTCCCTCCTTTTCTTCATCCTTTAGAGGTTCCACTCATGCGCACACACACACACCTAATATGCTCTTCACATCACAGGGGTCAGGATTTGAACTGCAGTCAGCCACATGGGATCCAGTTGCCAAGTAAAGCACTTATCCAATGAGCTACAGGGTCAGCCTTATTTATTTTATGCACGCCTGCACACATGTGCAACGAGAGTGAGAGAGCAGCCCAGGGGGGCCTGTCCATGCTGCAATCCTTTTTCCTCTTAATTCTCCATCCTCTCAGGGTCTTGTTTTTCTTTTCTTTCTTTCGTGGTTTTTTTTTTTTTTTTTTTTTTTTTTTTTTTTTTAAAGGCGGGGATTTGAACCGGGGTTGGCCATGTGGGATCCAGTTTCCTCTGGGCAGTGCTTAGCCACTGTGCCATGAGGCCAACCCACCACATTCTATTTTACAGATGAGGAAACAGACTCAGACCTGCTAAGGAACTAGCTAAAGGCCGTGGGGTTTGTGAGTAGTAGACCCAGCAGCTTTCCTCTGCTCAAGCCGTTGGTCCCAAAGTCCCTAAAAGGCTTCAGAGAAACTTGCAGGCTCAGGAGAAGCCTCTGGAAACAGGAAGAACTAAGTGCCCTAGAAGCCTCTGGCAGGAAGTCTGGCGGGAAGGAGGTGAGGGAGCAGAGGGTAATGAAGGAGAGGGAAGTGCGGGTGCTTCAGGAAGGAAGCCCCAGGAGTCGCCCCAGACCAGCCCAGGCCTGCTCCTGGCTGCAGGATATGTTTCTGGGGAAGGAAGGAAGGTCAGAGCTGGTGAGTCAATGGCACAGACTGTGCCCAAGGCAGTGAACTCACTTGGTGGCTTGTCATCCCTCTGTGGTAAGGAGGAGTGGGGGAGGGATAACTGCGGGCTAGGTAGGGCCCTGGGAGAGCTTCAGCTTAGGAAGAGATAGCAAATACCTCTTCTCAGGAGAAGGAAACAGAGCACACCCTCAGGGACCCCTGACTAGCTTGCAAAGGCATTAGGGGCTGGCCTCAGCAGAACGGCTTCTCAGGAAGGAGTGCCAGGAAGGGCCACCTGCCCCGGCCCTACTCGCACTTACTGGGGCTCGAGAGGATGTTAGCATCGTCCTCATTGGAGCTCAGCAGTCGCATCAGCTTTGATGGCTGTATGTCGTCCAGCGGGAAGAGGCTGATGTAGTCCTGGCGGGAGGAGAGGCACTATTACACACTGGGTCCTCACATCACTAGGTCCTGAGAAGGGGACTGGAGCTGCAATTCGAGCGAGGAAAAGCTGACTCCCCACAGTCTTCCTCATCCCCTTCACAGTTCTAGTGAGATTCCAGGGCACCTGAGGCGGAGCCAGCAGGTGACACGATGGGTAAGGCTCCAGACTCCCACGTGGCTAAACCCCCAGTTCAAGCTCCGAATCCAGTGGCCTGAGGATCACGCCAGGCACATGTGCGTGCATGCCCAAAATCCCAAGAAGCGACTAAAGGAGTAGCGACTGTGGCATGGCCACCACCTCTGGGGGCTGATTTCTCATTTTCCCTCTCTTTGTCTCCTGCAAGCATACATACCCTATGGCAAAAACCTAAAAAAGAAAAAAAAAAAAAAAAAGGCACACCCTCTGACCCCACAAGCCACCCCTCCAGATCCTTGGCCAATCGGGGCCTAACATAATTGCCCAAGAGCGGGGACGTGTCTGATTCCCTGTGCCTGGAAAGGCACCTCTACCAGGAAACACCAGCAACTGTTTGCTGAACAAACACACGAACAATGATGGGCCTACCTCAATGTCTTCACGGTGCCTCTTCTTCTGGCGGGAAGATGCTTGTCCCTTGTGGGAGGAGTAGGAACTCAGGGCACACCATACAGCCAGCCTGGCAAACGGTTCCAGGAAAAGGGAGTATGTGAGAGGGGTCCGAAAGGGGGTCTCAGTGTCCATCCTGATCAAGCCCCTCTGCAGGGCCTTTCCCGCAGCCCAGCTTCCTGGGGTGATGCCAGGGAGGGGCACCGCTGGACTCTAGGTCACGGGGCTTGAGGCCCAAGGGTGAGAACACAACAGGCTCAGGGCAGACTCCTACTTGGCCAGGGCTGTGCCGGGGGGGTCCATGAGGCTGTGCCACTTGGAGGAGTCGGTGAGCAGCCCAGGCAGGATATGGCCCAGCAGGACCAGGGTCACCTGCTGCATGTCCAGACAGAAGATGGAGTAGAGCAGTTCCACGGCCCGCAGCGTGTGCTCCTTCCGCGTCTCCTTCAGCAGCTCCTGGTGTAGGAAGAGTGCAGGCTAGGAGCTGAGGGCCTGACCCTGAGCTGTCTGGAAAAGCGTACAGGGGACCCCTGATGCGGCTCCACCCTTCTCTCCACTGTGCAGCCTGGCCAGAGCTACTAAAGGCAGCCATGGTCTCTGTATCCACAACTCCCAGCAGCCTCTCCAAGAAGTCCAGCAGAGCAGGTTGGGTGCTGGGAAATCAATGGACAGGACAGAATCTGGACCCATCGGGTATCTTCTCAGAGGCCTCTGGGTCTGAGGACACCTGCTCCTCCCAGCCCAAGCACCTTAATCAGGTTGTTGCAGAACCAGTAGACGCCTCCCATGTGCAGCAAGGTGTCGAAGATGTGAATGGAGCGGCTGTCCACCCAGCCCTTCTCCAGCACCTTGGCAAATATGTCCGTCAGCACCTCCTTGATGGGTCGCTTAGGGGGCAGCAGGTTCCAGTAAGGCATTGTGTCCACCCCCGTGGACAGGAACTTGATCTGCGTGGCTGTCTGCTGCAGCACGTCAGCACACATGCGCTCCAGGATCGAGCTCATGATCACCACCCTGGAAGAGCAGGGAGAGGTGGAGAGGATCTAAGGTTCCGGGGTCATAGTGGTGGGGGGCAGGCTTTCCCTTGGACTTGGGTTTTGGAAGTAGACCAGGGCATTAACCCCATTCTGTGCTGGGCCAGAGGCAACCCCAGCAGACCTGACTCTCCAGCATGCTCCTGGCAAGGCTCTCACCTGCAGGGGCTTTGCCTGTTGGAAGGGCTGGGGCAGGGGCTTTCCTCCCTCAGGCCACTCCAGCAACTTGTTATCTGCTCTCTGGCACTCTCCAACCTCCCCAACCCCCGGGCTTGGGCCCTGCCAACTGTCAGACATAAATAAATACAATCACTTCGAGTGCTGGGAGGGGGGCAGCCTTGGCCTCTTCCCAAAGTAAACTGTTACTTCCAGGAGAAGGCAACAGGGCTGTCCCACAGGACTCTTCCCGGCCCTTGGTAACTGGGCAAATCCAAGCGTATGTCCAGGGATTTTCTCAGGAAGAGTCTAGACTGTGAATACAGACCCAGGTCTGAGAGCTGACTATTCCTGGAATGCTGTGTGGCTCTGGGAAAGCTGTTAAGACTTTCAGAGCCATTTTCTCCACCCGCGCAATGGAGCCATAGATTTCTTACTATCCTTGAACCAGATAGAACATAGGGTGCTCAGAAAGGGTTACATCAGAGCAAACATTAGGTTACTTGTGGAGGGAAGATGAAGAAAGAAAGGAAAAAAGTGAAGACAAGAGGGGAAATGGAGATGTAATTTTACAGATTGGCCCCAAACCTCAACTCAGCTAAACGTTTCCATTTCTCTCTTATAAGACATCCTTGAAACCAACAGGTGGTGTGGTGGTTAAGGCAGCTGGATTCTCACATGGCCAAGCACAGTCTGAGTCCCAGACCCGCCCAGCAAGCGTGTGTGTGCATGCACACCTTCTCCTCTCCCAGAATCTTGGGAGGAGAATGGAGGAGAAAGGATTGTAACATGGCTATCTCCCCTGAGGGGTGATTTCTCACTTTCCCTCTCTCTTTCTCCCCTCTCTAGTGAGTGCACGTGCCCTATAGCAAAAAATAACAAGAAGTTAAAGAAAACCTGAATAAATGGAGAGAGATTCTTTTTTTAGAGAGAGAGATTTTTGCTATAGAAGAATGGAGAATGAAGGAGAAGGGATTGCGGCATGACCATCCCCCCTGGGGGGTGATTTCTCGCTTTCTGTCTCTCTGTCTCTCTCTGTCTGGCGAGCACACGCACCCTATAGTGAAAAACCTCTCAAAAAAAAAAAAATATATATATAAAATGTACTGGTGACTGGGTGACTACCCAGCTCATGGCAGCACTATTCACAACAGCCAAGAGGTAGAAGTGGGCCAGCCTACAGCCTAGAGGTCAAGGGAGCCAAATCCCACTTGACAGATCACTGTTTAAGTCCCAGCTCCAGGGTCTTGAAAAACTCTCCAGGCACATGCGTGTACATGCCCAAAATGCAAACGGGATGGAGAAATGGAGAAGGGACTGCAGTCTGACTATGCCCTGTTGGAAGGTGCTTTCTCTCTCTCCCTGTCGCTGTCGCTCTCTGGCAAGTGCACATGCCCTCTGGAGGAGGGGCTAGCAGGTGCCACAGTGGTTAAGGCACCCTGCAGAGGGTGCTCCTTTCTCTCTCTAGATTTCCACATGATCAACTATGGTTCGAGTTCCAGACCCCACAGCTTGAAACTCATGCCTGGCACATGTCTGTGCATGCCCAAAAGAATGGAGGAGAAGGGATTGTGGCATGACCATCCCCCTTAGAGGGTGACTTTTCACTTTCTGTCTGTCTCTCTGGTGAGTGCACATACCTTATAGCAAGAATCTCTCTCAAAAAAAAAAAAAAAAAAAGAAAATAAAAAAACCTCCTATCCAAATTAGTTTTTTTTAGTTAACAGTGCTGGACTCCCACTTGGCCGACCATGGTTCGAGTCCCAGATCTGGTGACTTGCCTTCTTACTTTCTCTTTTCTTTCTCTCTCTCCTCTTTCTCATTCTATCCCTCTCTAGTTAAATTAAAATAAGTGAATGAATAAATAAATAGACGTTAAGTAAAATAATTCTTCAAAAAAAAGGAAAAGAAAAGAAGAGGTGGATGTAAGCCAAATGTCCATTGATGGATGAAAGAATAAAATGTGATATATACAATCAACAGACTATCACTCAGTCTGAAAAAGGAATCTTGTCCACAGATGAATAGACTGAAAAATTGTGGCACATAAACTCCATGGAATACTACTCAGCCATAAAAACAACAAGGCCCTGGAATTAGATAGAAACTGGGTGAATATAGAAGATTTATTGCTGAGGAACCAACAGTTGGAGTAATAGCTATATTGCTGGACTCCCATGTAGTCCAGTGTGATTTGAGTCCCAGACCCAATGACTTAAGCTGATGCTGGGCGTGTGTGCGTGTGTGCCCAAGATCCCAAGAGGAGAAGGGATTGCAGCATGGCCATCTCCCGTGGGAGGTCATTTCTCACTTTCTGTCTCTCTGACTCTGTCTTTCTGGTGAACGCACACTCTCTATAGCAAAAACCTCTCCAAAAAAAAAAATGTTGCTAAGTGGAGCAAGTCAGGCTATGAAGAGAGACACTGTACATCTCCACTTAACATGTACCAACTGTCCGCACTCTAAGGTAGGGACTGAAAGACTGGAGAACATGAAAGCATTAAAAATTGTAATAAACACTAGAGACAACGTGGAAAGAGAGTATGGGAGGGGAAGAAGGGTAGGAAAGGAAATTTGGAGGGAAAAATAGAGAGGTAAGGCACTTGTGGGACACAGATATGGTTTATTATCTACTGATAAGGATGTGTATAGTATTCTCAACTAGGCTGGACTGAGATGTACATCATGCTTGGTAAAGTCTCTTTACAATCTAAATGATGTATAACAATGGAATGTATGAATAATACTAAAGAAAAAAAAAAAAAAGAAGGACCAGCAGTTAGCCAGGCACACTTACGTGTGTGCCCAAGATCCCGAAGAGCTGGAAGACTAGGGAAAGGTGTTCATGGAGTGATGAGACCCTGCAGAGGGTGCTCCTTTCTCTCTCTTGCACATAATGTCGTGAATAAAATAAACTTATTAGAAAATTAAAATGTATGAATAATACTAAAGAAAAAAAAAAAAAAGAAGGACCAGCAGTTAGCCAGGCACACTTACGTGTGTGCCCAAGATCCCGAAGAGCTGGAAGACTAGGGAAAGGTGTTCATGGAGTGATGAGACCCTGCAGAGGGTGCTCCTTTCTCTCTCTTGCACATAATGTCGTGAATAAAATAAACTTATTAGAAAATTAAAGAAAGTAGAACAATGGTCACAGTGGGTAGGAAACTTGTGAGATTCCAATGTTTTGAAGGGACCAGCCAGTGGCATGGTGATTAAGGCAGCCGTATCCCTCATGGTCAATTGTGCAGTTTGAGTCCTAGACCCATTAGCTTGTAAAATATGCCAGAAAGAGTAACAGAAAGGGACTGTAGCATCCCCCATGGAGGGTGCTTTCTCACTTTTTCTCTCTCTCTATGAAGAGCACACATATCCTCTAGCAAATTTTAAAAAATTATTTTGGAGATCTGTGGCACAACATGAATATATTTAATGCTACTGGACTGCACACTTAAACATGCTACGAGATGATACTTTTTCTCATGAGGAGGGTAGGATGAGGGAGAGACAGGCAGGTATTTTTGACAGGATGGTGTTATCACTGCAGTCCTCTGCCCAACTTCCCAGTTAGCTAAGACTGCGGGAGCACACTGCCATACCCGGCTGGTTCGAGCTGGTCTGGCCTCCCAGGGCGTCCTAGTCTCATGCAGTGGCATCCTACCACTTGTGCCCCTGCAGTTAGGCCTGAGATGGCAAACTTTATGTTACTTATTTATTTTAAACCACAATTAAAACTTTTAAATGTATTCGTTCAGTGAATGAATCAACACCACTGAAGTCAACAAAAAAGTTGCCAGGGCAATCCTCCAAGCCCCTGAAAAGCCAGGCAGGAAATTCTTGCAAAAAAGATGAGAAAGAGGCCTACGATTTTTTAAAAATTCTATTATTATTATTATTACTTTTTTTTTTCCCTTAGAGGGCATGTGTACTCACCAGAGAGAGAAAGCATGAAATCACCCCATGGAAGGATGGCCACGCTGCAATCCCTCCTCCTCCATTTTCCTCTGGGGATCTTAGGCATACATGCCTGGCGTGAGTTTTAAGTCTCCAGGTCCGGGACTCGAACCATGGTCAACAACACGGGAGTCCAGTGACATAGACGTTATGTCATCTGCTGGTCCCTATTTATTATTATTTTTTTTGAGTAGAGATTTTTGCCATAGGGCACATGTGCTTGCCAAAGAGAGACAAGAGACAGAAAGTGAGAAATTATCCCCAGGGGGATGGCCACGCACAGTCCCTTCTCCTTCGTTCTCCTCTTGGGATCTTAGGCATGCATGCACAAGTGCCTGGTGTGAGTTTTAAGCCACCAGGTCTGGGACTCGAACCACGGTTGATTACATGGGAGCCCAGTGATGTAGCCCAGTGATGTAACTTTTATGCCATCCACTGGTACCCTGTTATTATCTTTTTTAATCTGATGAGAGAGAGAGAAGTGAGAAAGTAACCCACCAGGTCTAGAACTCAAACCATGGTTGGCCATGTAAGAATCCAGCACCTTAACCACCATGCCACCTGCCAGCCCCCAAGTCTAGAAATTCTTTTTTTTTTTTTAATAATTTTTTTAATTTAACTTTATTTATTTATTTATTTTAACCACCACACCACCTGCTGGATCCCCTGCCAGTTCTTTCTTTCTTTTTTTTTCTTTAAAGAATTATTTAACTTTATTTATTTTATTTGCTTATTTATTTTAATTTGGTGAGAGAGACAGAGAGAGAGAGAGAGGGAGGGAGAAAGAGAGAGAGAGCAAGCAAGCTACCAGGTCCGGGACTCAAACTGTGGTCGCCCATGTGGGAGTCCAGTGCCCTTAACCACCATGCCACCTGCCAGCCCCATGCCAGTTCTTTCTTTTCTTGGAGAGGATTTTGCCATAGGGTGCGAGCGTTCGCCAGAAAGACGGAGACAGAGACAGAAAGCGAGAAATCACCCCCCAGGGGGCATGGCCGCACTGCAATCCCTTCTCCTCCATTCTCCTCTTGGGATCTTGGGCACACACGCACATGCACCCAGCGTGAGTTTAAGACACCGGGTTTGGGACTCGAACCGCAGTCGACTACGTGGGAATCCAGCGACATAGCTATAGAAATTGAGCTCTTTGAGAGCAGAAATCATAGCTATCTGGGGTCTGCATACATGGCACACAGCAGCTGCCAGATCATAAACAATACTGACACAGAAACACACATGAAATGTTATCAGCTGAGTCAGCTGCGTAATATGTGAATAAGAAAGTGACGGAGAGAGGAAGTGAGTGAGTGAGCAGTGTGTCTGGGAAGGTACTAGAAGGAAAGGGTTCTGGTTACAGGAGGTGCTGACACGCCTGCAGTGTTTGGGAAGGGAGCGGGTGGGACGGGTTACTGACCTCTCATTGTAGAACTGCAGGGTATTCTCACTGTACAGTGGCCCTGCCAGTTGGCGGATCATCTGTAGCGACTTCTCACGCTCATCCAGCCCCAGCATCCGGACGTGGGCCACGAGCCAAGCCACAGCACACACTGCCAGACTGCATACCTTCCCCTTGATATTATCGGTGATTTTCTGGGGAAGGAGGAAAAGAATGTCTAGGGCTACCAGCTCCCCTTCCCTGGCCATTCTTTCCCTGCCTCTGAGCAGCTAAGTGCCACAGGTGGAGTTCTAAGCCACATTCCATATTGTTTCCACCACAAGTTCGACTTCCTCAGAGCTACCTGGATGGGAAAGCATGGCTAAGACCACAATTACAGGGAAAACTGACACCAAACACAGCCTGAGTTAAGGGTCTTCTTGTATTTATAAAACCTTACAAGTTATCAAGGACTGGGCTATGTCTTGGGGTAGAGAGCAGGCCTCTGGAAAGGTGGGGCTACCTGAATTGACTCAAATGCCAGGACCCCATTCTCCCAGGCATTGAGGATTTCCAAGATGGCCGCTGAAATGCTGAGACAGGCTTCGTGCCACTTCATCTGCCTATGAAGGTAAAGGGGGAGAGAAGTCACCACAGGGAAGCTTGGGATAGACTTAGGGAAGAGGGTCCTATCCCTGTCCCACAACCACCCTTGGAGTAGGTGCCCAGGCCACTGACACGAGCTTCATTTCTGAGGAGTTGTTGAGCAGGGCCACCAGGGACTCCACTTTGGTGGAGTCGGGCCGGAAGCAAGGGTGGTCGGGGTTCAGGATCTTGCCCTCCTCAGGCATGCAGGTCTGCATCCAGGTTTCAAAGAAGGGCACTTCTGCTCCTGTGTTCGACTCCGAGAGAATGACCTGGGAAAAGGGGGGGAGGCACCAGCTGAGCAGCGAGGGTACGACACCTGCTGGAGCTGGGCCTGGGCCACACCTGTTTCCTGCCACGCTGCTTCTCCCTTTCTGGCCAAAGAACGGGATGAACTGGTCTGAGAGAAGCAGATGGGCCTTTGCTGCCACCTAGTGGTCACTGTGAATGCGCCAACTAAAGATTTGAGAAGTGAAGGGGGCGGGCATCTACTGACTTCACTTAGGGTGGGATAGGCTTCTGAGGCCACAACTAATTGGCTTGGGAGACTGATGAGGGGCAGGGGGTAAGGGAAAAAGTCATTAGTTTCTTCCCCTTTGGGAAAATGTTCTTCACCACCCACTTGGTGCCCTGGGCCTGCCTGCTCCCCTCTCACCTCTGAGCCATAGGTCTGGGCCACGTGGCACAGCATGAGGAAGGAGATGTCGAAGAGCAAGGCGCGAACTGAGGCCGGTTTGGCTGCGGGAAGGAGAGTGGGTTGAGCTCTTGGCCTCAGCCCAAAGCCTAGCCTGGGTTGGGACGGGTCAGGATTTGCCTCAAGGAAGGTCAGGGACCAAGTAGCTATTTCAAAGCTCTGAGGCTCAGAATCCTTTTCTTGGGTCTCATTTGGAACATCATCCCTTCCTTGGGCTCAAAGACTCCGAGTACACTCCTTCCTCCCAGTCCCCGACCAAATCATTAAGGGAGACGAGAGGGAGAGAAAAGGATGGTTTTTGAAGAGTCCTTTTCCAGCACTACCTACTCAGCCAGCCCAGCTCCAGGGAGGAAAGACAGGCTCCCCAGGAGAAACGGAGGCTCCCTCCTCCCTCCTACTCTCTCCTCCACACCCCTCCTAGTGCCTTCTGGGTATGAGTATGCAGAGGCGACTTACTGTTTTCTTCGCTGCCGTGTGTCGTGAACTCATTCAAACTGTGAAAGGAATGGAGATAGGCTGCACCGACCAGGCAGGAACTCAGCGATAGCAGGGGCCACCCGCGCTCAGAGAGGCGGCCGCTGGGGTCTAACTTACCTTCAGAGGGACACCATCGCTATACAATAAGGGTTTCTATATACTGTTAAAAGATTCCCAAGGCCTAGAGAGTGGCTTGCTGAATGGAACAATGTTCTACAAGTCAAATTCCAGGTCCGCCAAAAAAGGCAGCGGGATTAGAGCCCTCCCTTATTAATATTTTTTTATTTGCTAGAGGGCACATGAGTTTACCAGAGAGGGAGGGAAGGAGTGAGAGGGAGCAGTCACCTCCCAGTGGGGGTGGCCATGCCACAATCCCTTCTCTTCCGTTCTCCTTTTGAGATTTTGGGCACACACAGAGCATGCACCTGGTGTATTTTTCAAGACATCAGGTCCAGGACTAGAACTAGGTAGATGGCCATGTGGGATCCAGTGTCTTCATCCCCATGCCACTAGCTGGCCCAGAGAGCCCCTTCTTAATAACAGGGTACACACGAAGTTCCTCTACACCCCATCACCTCATCAAACATCTCCACCTCATCCTCAGCTGAAGAGAAAATGGCACTCAGGCCGAGAGAACTGGCCTTTCCTCCAGCATCTCCAGCTGGGACACTGCCCTGGCTTATGCATCTCTGGAGAGACCCAGGTCTGAGGGCCGGTCCTACTCTGCTCCGTCCTCCTTCCAAACATAGCTTCCCCAACATGGTCCCAGGCTTGGCCTTCCTCACTTGATGAACTTCCGAGCGAAGGATCTGAGCTTCCCGGTGGCGGCAGCGGCAGCCAGCAATAAGTCCAGGCTCTTCCCAGACAGCATGTGGCCCAGGACCCCCAGCAGCCCCTCGGGGGACTTGGAGTGGTCTGCATCCATTGTCTAGGGACAGGACAGGACATCAAGTCATGAAAAACACTGAAGACCCACCCTGCTACGGCACAGCCACCTCTCTGTATGTCTGCGTGAGCTAACACACCACAGCCTGCACTTTAATCTGCATCTTTTTTGTTTTTTTTCAGTTTTGCAAGAGAGAAAGGGACAGGGGTAGAGGGATGGGAAAGTCTCCCCCATGGGAAATGCTCACCCCACAACCCTTCTCTACGTCTCCTTCCTTTCAGATCTTGGGCACACACATGCACCTGACATGTTTCTCATGCTGCCAGGTCTGGGGCTCGAACCGCAGGGTCAGTCATGTGAGATCCAGTCACCTGAACCACTATACCACAGGCTGGCCTCTAATCTATATCTTTCTGATTCCAATCTGGAATATCACTCCTAAAGTCTGTCTTCGGTCTCTGACCCCTCCCTCTACACTGGCATGATGGTGGCTCTCTACGGTTTCCACGTGAGACGGCGCAAGTGCAGCACTCCCAGGGTGCCTGAGATATAAGCAAAGGTCCACAACTGATGGTTCTCAAGAGTGGCTGCCCATCCTCCCCATTTCTCCACTGCCAAAGCAACCATGCATAAAGCCAGACAAGAGCAGTGTGTAGCCTTGTCCATCTGTCCAGAGGTAGAGAGAAAGCAGGAGGAGAGAAAAGGATGTACTCGCCTTTAGGATATTTGTGACAGTGGGCTCTGCCCGGAGGATCAGCCCAGGATTGGGCTGGATGTTGGCATTTTCTGCTGATTTTAGCTGGGGGACATTCTCCCGGTCTGCTGCACTGTGACCAAAACCAGTTGGCAAGAGAAGGGAGGAAGAACAGTGAGAAGTTCTGGGTTTTTTTAAAAAAATATATATATTTCACTTAATTTATTACTATTATTATTATTATTATTCCAGTTTGATCAGAAAGAGACAGAGGGAGGGAGGGAAAGTGAGAAAGCGAGCCACCAGATCTGGGACTCAAACCAGGCCATGTAAGAGTCCAGCACTTTTAACCACCATGCCACCTGCCGGCCCCAGAGAGTTCCTGACACATTCCCTAGTCTAGCCACGGAGAGAGAGGCACAGGGACAGTAGGAAGAACACAAGAGGCTTTAGGCGTGGTGTGAAGCTGTGCTCAATATTGGGATCACTTTCATCTATCTTTAGTCACTTCTTTTTAAGAAAAAAAATTTTTTTAATAATTCTTTTATTTAACTTTATTTATTTATTTTTAATTTGACCAGAGAGGAACAGAGAGATTGTACCTTTCCTGCCCCCCATTTCTCTCTGGCCAAATTTTAAAATAACAATAATAAATAAAGTTAAATAAATAATATTTTTTTAAAAAATTATATAATGGGCCGGCAGGTAGTGTGGTGGTTAAGGGCACTGGACTCCCATGTGGCCAACCATGGTTTGAGTCCTGGACCTGATGGCTTGCTTTCTCTCTCTCTCTCTCATTCTGTCCCTCTCTGATTAAATTAAAATAAATATAAATAAATAAAGTTCAATAAAATAATTCTTTAAAAAAAAAAGAGTAGCAACTGAGAGTGTCAAACTCCAGTTTGAAGAAATCAGTGTCTTCTTTTCCCCCCATTCCCTGTACCCACAGGCTTGGTCCCAGTCACCTGCAACCCAAACTTTTGACAGCAGAGAAGAAGGCACCCAGAGGCCCAGAGCAGAGATGAGCGGGAGGTCAGGGTTCTGGGGGTTTCTCAGGGAGCCCGAACTTACCGCTTAGCCATAAGGCTGCTGACGCTAGCTTCAGACAGAAGCCCCTGCTTGCTGCATTCTTGGAGCAGGAAGTTCGTGCTGTCACAGCTGTGAGGAGAAGACGAGGAGGGAACTGGGCACACAGCTGGGAGTGTTGCAGGATGGGAGCAACAGGTCCCTGCCCAGTATCCTCCCTCCTTCAGGAAGAAAGAAATATGGAGTGCCTAGGGGAAGGTGGAGGGGCTCTGGCCAGCACAGTGGAACTGCTGCTTCCTGCCCCTGCTGAGGGGAGTGCATGAGGACACAGATCCCCCACCCACAGACTTATCAGGCACAGAGGAGCAGGCGAGAGCCCAGAACACCTAGCAGACCAGGGTGAGCAGGGGAGATCGTACTTGCAGCGCTGGTCAGCTTTGTCCAACAAGGGCGTGAGCTTCAGCAGAAATGCAGAGTTGACGTCTTCAGTGAAGTCCTATAAAAGTCAGAAACTCCCATGTGGTTTCTAGGTCCTCCACTCCTCCCACAGCTTGCAATGCAGGCTCACCAAGACAGCCTGGAGGACACGAGGGCCTGCGAGTAGGCCGTGCCCGCCACTGACAACCAGCGGCCACGTGGGGAGACGTGTGAGGCAGCACTGCATCCTGAAGGCGACCCTGGCCCAGTCATCTCGGGCCACCTCAACTCCTGGGATGGGCCTCAACTACCTGGCACGTTCTTCCCGGAGCCAGCGTGCACACAGATGCTCAGTACCTGCAGCCTTCCTCAGACATAAGAACACACTACTGCCCAGCTGGGGTTAAATGACCTTTCTCTTACTCATGTTTCTCCAGGGCAGAAATCCCCCCATCTGTTTCCACGCTCCCATTTTATTTATTTATTTATTTTTTGAGAGAGGTTTTGCTATAGGGCACGTGCGCTCGCCAGATAGACAGAGACAGACAGAGAGACAGAAAGTGAGAAATCATCCCCCAGGGGAGATGGCCACACCGCAATCTCTTCTCCTCCATTCTTCCCTTGGGATCTTGGGCACACACACACACACACGCGCCTGGTGTGAGTTTTAAGCCACCAGGTCCATGAGGTAGGGAGTCCAGTGACATAGCCATTACACTAACTGCTGGTCCCTTATTTATTTATTTAGTTTTTTGGAGAGGTTTTTGTTATAGGGCACATGCACTCGCCAAAGAGAAAGAGAGAGACAGAGAAAAGGTGAGAAATCACCCCCCAGGGGGGATGGCCACACCACAATCCCTTCTCCTCCATTCTCCTCTCAGGATCTTGGGCACGCACGCACATGTGCCCAGCATGAGTTTAAACCACTGGGGCCAGGATTCAAACCATGGTCGACTACATGGGAGTCCAGCGACGTAGCCCTTATGCCATCTGCTGGTCCCCCCATCTTATTTTTTCAACTCACCTTGTCACCATGAGAGTACTTCTTCAACTTTACCAAAACCTGTGGGATCTAGGCAAGATGGGGGAAAAACAAGATCAATATGAAAAAGCATCCCCCACCCCCTTGCTCTGAGCAGAGAGACAGGGACTCTTAGCCCTGGAAGTCAAAGTACTCTCAGAGCAAAAACCAGAAAACTGATGGGTACCCAAGCACCTGACACTCCTCAGCCAACAGGATGCAGGGAGCCTTCACTTATGTTGGCTCAACAAAGGCATACCACAAGCAAATACAGAACCCCAGCTTCAAGGAGGGCTGGGGCCCATTTCCCTGGCTCCATTAACCATCCCGTAATCTGGATGACAACTGAGCTAAACAGCACCTCCATGGTAAGAAACAACAGAGTCCTGCCAAGTGGGCTAAACATAGCCTGGGACTTTCAGAGAACATAATTGATGGGGACTGTTCTGGGGGACCTGGCAGGCTGGGCACAATGCCAGCAGAGAGACAGAGGGCAAAGGTGCAGAGTGTCACTGCTCTTCCTGAAAATCGGTCCTAGACTGACTCTCTGCTGCTCCTACACCCCCAGTTACCTTGAGGAAGGTGAACGCTGTCCACTTGAGCTCCTCTGTACCCTCGGGAGATTCAATGAGCCCCACGAAGCAAGCTTTCCAGATCTCCAGGACAAAAAGTGGGGTAGGGATATGCTGTGGGAAGATCCAAACGTGAGGCCTAAGGGAGGCCCCTTCATCCTCCTGCAGGCTGCACAGCAGAGCCACTCCCAACTCTAGTGCTGACAACCAGGGGCATGAGTCAGATAACAGGCTGTGCCCAGCTGGGCACTTTCCACCGTGGAGCAAGAGAAACTCTATTCCTCGCTAGAAGGACCAGAAGAATCCTCCCTCCTTCCCCCAAAATGGCCAGCCTCTGCGAGGAAAGGGGTGCTCGCGCTCCCACCTGCATGCGCTTCACCATCATCAGCTGCTCCACCAGGGGCTGGGTCTCGCCTGTCAGGTTCATGGTGCCCTCAAGCAGCACCACCGCGTGCACGGTGGGGAAGCCAGTCTTGTGTAGCTGCTCTGAGTGCACGGACAGCATTGTGGGGATGCTGAGAACAGACAAAGAGAGTCAGTGTTCGGGGGCACAGGGTGAGCAAGGGGACGAGGCCAGGCACCAGATTTGCCCACCCAAAGAGGCTTCCTCTTCCTCCACTGTCATCATCCCACGAACCTCCTAATGAGTGTGCCGCACTGCTCGGCCTGGCTCCGCAGCTGGGGGTTGCTGAGATTGGCCAGGATCTCCCCGAGCTTCAAAAGGGAATGCTCAATGGCAGTCCAGGAGGCTGGTGGAGAAAAGGAAATGCAGACACATAATAGGCAACAGAGGAGAAGGCGAGCCCAGCCCCAGACTCCTAGACTTAGGCACCCCCTGGGCCCATAAAACCACACAGGGAGGCTCCCCCTGAGGATGACATGGAGGCCAGGGGCCTGAGGGCAGCATGCACTTTTTCTAGAAAGGGAGTGAACACTAGGGCTGGAGCCCCTGGAAACCATTCCTTGACTTCCAGGGGATATACCCAGCTGACTTTAAAGACCAGCTATGATAAAATAGAGGCAGCGGAAGAAAGAAGCAGAGGGAGCTTTGCAAGACCACTAGCTGGAAAAGGGAGGGCAGCCACAAATCACTCAGGAGCAGGTCACCCCGCAAGACCAGCCTTGCCAAGGCCGTAACCATTTGCTCTAGTTAAGCTGGGCTCCTAAACGACCACCCCATACTCACTCACTCCCTCGTTTTAGACTCCATCCTCTAAGTCCTGGTTTAGGTCCTGGTTCTTTTAACAACTTACCCAACTGGTCTAACCCCCTGATCTCTCCCTCCTGAATGCCTATACTCATGGTCTATACCGCATTATTTAGTACTTCATTATGTCACTTATCCTAGTTACAATTCCAGAGAGTCAAATGATGAATAATGGCACCAACTAGCCCATTAACCTCCACGCAGCATAGGGGATAAAAGAAGATAAGACCTGAGCCATTCAAATGAAGTGTTCATCCACTTTTCAGCCAGTAAACACTTATCAAATGTTCAAGAGAGGAAAAAACTGTCAACCCAGCCCATTTTTACAGTGATTCTCTTTCTGGGCTTTTCACAGGCAATAAAGCAGATGTGGGGAAGTAATAAATATGCCAATCCTACTGCAAGCTCTCCGACCAGGTCCTGACCTTGGCCGTAACCTAGCCCAGCACTCTCTTACTGGAGAGCAAGAGCTCCGTGCATGGCCCTACGCCACTTTGGCTCTAAGCGACTGTGGCCTTAGTACCCACTACCAGAAATACTAAAGTCTTCCTTCCACCAAGTGATCTCTCATTCTCAGACTCTGGAAGGTTCCAACATCTACCCACTGAACTTGAGTCAAGAAATGGGTAGCACAACAGGCCTGACAGCAGACAGGTACCGTGCTTAAAGGCACATCTTAGGTAACACTCAAATACAAGAGTCATTGGCGTCCAGATGATGAGCAATGCAGAACAAACACAAGAACAGACCGTGTACTTGTCTTGGCCTCTCATTCTTTCCACATATAGGACATACTTGCTCCCCACTAGAAGGTATGCTTGCCGAGGGCAGGGACCCTGCCACATGCTCCTTTGGTAGCCCCCCACCCCCTCCCCCGCACCTGGCACAGTGCTGGGCATACGATAATGCTCAGTAAATACCTGTTGGTTGATTGGCTCGGGTGCCACCCTGCCCAAGTCCCTGGGATGTATGCAATGCTTATGGGGAGAAAAAAAAGGAAGTGGGATGGTTTCAGATCCTCCTGGAAAGAAGTGGGATGGCATCCTGCCTCTCCCCTCTCAATTAAAGGACCAGCTATAGGAGCAGTGGCAGGTGGGGCTCAAGGGAATCAGGGGACATACAGGCCTCCTCGAGTTTGGCGATGTGCAGCAGGGCCCGGTTCTTGGTGCTGCTGAGGGTCTTCTCCAGGCGCTGCAGGCACATGGCAAGCTGCTTCTCCCCAGCAGCAGGGGGGCCGGCCTCCAGCCCC